CTTGTGCGCAAGGGTATTATAACTTTGTGTGCATAACGGTTTTTTTTAACGGTCTAAAGGAATCGAGATAGATATACATATGTAGACATATTAATACTTAATTACGCAGAATGAAAGAAGAAGCCGATTTAGCTACGTCTGTCCGTCCGTTCGTTCGTTTAAACGATAACGTAAACAATAATTGGGATATCTTAACAAAATTTGGTATAAAGGCTGCCCCTCTTCCGAGGTAGCATTAAAAACGGGCGAAATCGGACGGTAACCACGCCCACTTCCCACATAACGGTATTTTCTATAAATAAAAAAATAATAAATGGATCCAAATTGTTGAAAGCTGGAAAGGGGAAGTAGAATTTTGGCATAAAATAAGATAACTATAAAGGTTTTGGAAAATGGGCGTGGCACCGACCACTTATGCATAAAGAAATGCTGTTTCTCAGTAGGCGCTTAACCACCCCTACCAAACTCGGTACGAACATTGCTTAGTGTCTCACTACGAAACCTGGTGAACCATTTTTGAAATCGGACAGTAACCACGCCCACCTCCCATATAATGGCAATTTACAGAAATACAAAAACTGCTACAAATCAATAACTCTTAAACCTACTTACCTCGAAATCGATGTTTGCAATATTCTTTTAGCAGTAAATCAGATTTCTGCACAGTTTTTGGAAATGGGCATGGTACCGCCCACTTCTGATTACAGACATATGTATTTGTATCTCGGTAATCAAATTATCAATATCTACCAAGCTAGGTGGAGTTACTCCCCTTGGTACAGAAAGGCAATGTGTTGAAAATTTTTGAAATCGGAATAAAATTACGCCCACTTCCTATATAACGGTAGCTTTCAGAAATACTTAAACTCCTATATTTTTATAATAAATTAGGACTCTAAGCTACTCAAGTTAATACTTACAAAAATATCTAAAGAAGAAATAAGATTCTTAAACTGTGTTTACATATAAATATGATCTCAATCAAAACCCGTTTTTCAATCACCCCGTTTACACATGCAAATCTTAGATTATTAGCCGTCAAATTTGTTGTGCTTAAAGTTATATTTCTTCTCTGTGCCACCGTGATCACTTATTTCTACTATATTTATCAATTTAAATATATTTGCACTTAATATTTTCTTAAAAAGACCTCTACAAACTTCTTCTCCTAGCTAACGTCCATTTTTTATTACTTTTATATTTGTCATTTCTCCTCTTCGCAAAAATAATCGATAAAACTAGGTTGGGCACCGAAAAGCTATCGGTTTAATCTGAGATTATTTTATAATTACAGACTAACGAGGAATGAATTTTGTATGGCTAATCTCTTTTCCTAATTACAGATTAGGGAGTTAAGCTCGAAGATAAGAAGATAATATACTTATATGTAAAGCTAGCATTATAGATTTTCGGAAAATGGGCAGGACACCGCCCACTTACATAAGTTTATGATGGTAATCGGTTTATCGTTCAATTAAATATTTCATTAAGTCTAACTAAGCAAATTATCGAAAATGTTTGAAATCGGGTGATGACGCGAGCTTTTCATATAATTTACAGAAAGGCGAAAAAACTATATTTAATAAGTGCGCTGGGTACCTACGTATATAAAGTTCGGTTTCACCCGAACTTTTACTTCTTTATTTATCTCTTCTCTCCCATAGAGTAATTTGGAACTCTAAATATTCTCTCAAATTTCACACTCATGGCATAATACGCCCATTCTCTGAAATAAAAAGTAGTAACAAAGCCCCAGCAATAACCATTACTGGCAATTTTCATTTTGAACGTACTGGCTCTGTTGCTGCCAATTCAACAACAGTATCTAGAGTACGCTTCATATGAAGGCAGCAGCAATAATAAAGCAGAATAATTTACTTAATAAACAGAGCTATAATGCCAGCTTAAGCATACCTTCCTTCAAGTGAGCGTATGGCTATTGAGAGCTAAGTACATGCATACAGTGGCTCACAGCCAAAACCATGTATAAAAAAAAAAAATGTATTTTGTTAATATTCACAAATTTTTTTCCTATTAAATTGTTTTAGTTATTTTTCTATAAAAATGTGGTTCATATTACAACAAAAACCAAAATTCCAAACTTTGTACCAAAACTAGGAAAATTCGAAAATTTTCCAACATTTAGGTCCGTTTTTTAGAAAAATTTCGGACATGAACAAATCTCACGAGTTGTTACATTTTTGGACAAAAACCGTTTATTTGTGAAATTTTTTTTTTTTTCATATAACGTACGCCTTTGCATGGAAAAAATTGGCGAAACATGAATGGAGTTTTTTTAAATTTTTCTACGTACGTACATATATGTATAAGTACTTAAATAAATAAAAGTTTTTTATTGGGAGTGAAAGCAGAGTTCGGCTGTGAACCACTGTGAGTACATATATTCAGAAGGAGTATATACACTCTTGAGTATAAAACCACTAGGGTTGCCACGTAAACAGAGTTAGGAAGATAATATATAAACAGGTACATATCGATTATCCTTTGCACAATTTCAAATTTCAAAATTCAAAAAAAAAAACAAAAAAAAAACCCTTACTACTGTTAAGGGCCCTCATGTCTCTAGCCCTTGTCTAATCCATGTTTAATTTTACTACTTAATCTGGTATAAAAAAAATCTATTCGCTGTCATTTTAATTATATATATACGCAGTTGGTAAAATCTCTCCCTGACCATCACTAGATGCATAACCTTTTTATAAAAACAATAATAGATTGGCGCTTACACAATATATTCGTGTTTGGCCGCGCATCTCCTCCGATTTGTGGTGTGCGTCACAAAAAGGGGAGGCACCCACAGTTTTACGCCCACTCCGAATAGCGATTGTGTTTTTATGAGAACCTGTTTTTCATGGCAGAATACACCGGAGATTTTCTATTAAAAATAAATTTTATTATTTACATATTTATTTTTTGATGTTGATCGGAAGCTGCGCTCGATGCCAGGCCCTGCGGAATGGTAGCGCGCACTGCTAAACACTACACCACAGCGGCCGCTTTGTGCTTCTCCGGGTCACTGTACAAGCTGATACCACTCCTGGAAGGTACTTTAGCACTTTCATCCGAAACCAACAGGGGATTAAATGGTGATTCAGTTAAGCGCCTGTACTAGCACCAAGGTACCGGTCCTTTCGTAAGCAGTTTCTAGCAGTAAGCTTATCAGAATAGGATTTTATGCACGTTTTCGATCCAAGGATAAAATCTGGTGCTGATGTTTGACGATAAGTACAGAGTGGTTTATTTAAACCGTATGCGAAATCTTCATTTCCGGCTACATTCAGCTCAAACACCTGTGCGGACTTCTGGGAATGACGCTATCATATTTCGTACGGCAACTCTATCAACATATACAAACATACATATGTGGATATGTATTACATATTGGTCTCCGAAAATGTTCATGAACTACATACATATACACTTAACAAAAGCAGCGCCATAACCACAGGCAAATAAGTAAAAGAGAACAGTAGAGCTAAGTGAGTGGGAACAAAGCTGCGCGGGTGTACAACGAGACCTCCATCGCAGCCAACATGATTAAACATGTTTTTGTGTGTGCGCTTCAGTTAAAGAAATCGTAAACCCTTGCCTTTTGGAAATCACGCGATACGAATACGAATGAGAGATGTCAACAAAAATTGGAAAAAAACAGTGGGCTCGACCCAGAGCGCGCAACTCGTGCACAACATTTCTGGCGCGAACCAAGTGGTTTTGTACGAAAACGATGGGAAAAAGTGATTCAGAACAGTGGTATCTGGCGGCTGGCTGTTTATGTCGTACGCTCACCGCTGAAGCACGTTTTTGCTATATCGACAAGATACAGATACGGGTGTATGGCAAGTGTGTATGAATGTAGGTACGTGCTGGTATACTATATTATATATGTAAGTACATATGCATGTGGGTACAGGCCTTCTGTTCCCGCTTACATTCTTTTCTTTTTTGTGACTTCATGAAGTCAGCGAGCGCCGCGTGAGTAAACTTGAACTGCAGCGTTTGAGCGCGCAAGAGAGGAAGTGTGCGCAATTCGGCGCGCGCTGTCATCACAAAAATACATTTGGTGTCTTGCATTGACGTTGGATAAAATACATAGTATCTATATACTCAGGTTTGCTGCCAGATGAAATTCTTTTCCACTCGTCGCCGCTTTCGTGTGTTTGAAGCGCGCGCGCGCACTCTCGGGACGCCTGCATTGCTGCTGGGTGCTGTGCTGTGAGTAGCTGGCATATAAAATGGTGAGCGCTCAGTGTTCTGCACGCATTTTGCATTGAACCATAAAGGAAAACGGGTCGTATGGACGCACTCTGTGTAGTTAGAAAGAAAGAAAGTAGCGGACAAATTTTTACGTGAATTTCATAATAATTCGTTTGCAGACGCGGAAACGTGAAAGAAAATATTTTTTACAAAAAAAGAACGCTATTAGTGAAAAAACTCTTCTAGCTGTTCGAATTATAAAAAAAAACGTGTAAGAAAAACTTTTGTGCGACAAAACAATAAATGAAGAGAAATTCCAACGCAAAGTTCAAGCGAAGAAAAAATTGTGTGTGAAAAAATTGAACAGCCCAAATCCCAGCACCCGAAAACTATCCACTCACCGAAATGGCCATCGCTTACTACATACCCGATCAAGCTACAGTCCTGCGACGCGGCATTATGAAGGAGCAGCAGATTCTACGCGCCCGCCAGGCATATTGGCGATTTGTATTCATACTATTTTGGGAATTATTGCATCAGTATGTGCAATATGAACGCCAGAGTTTGGGTAAATGCCGACTAACGAGATTTTTGCACTAAAACGACAACCACAATCCATCTAAGTCAAGTTCACCAACAACGAAAGCAAATAGAAACCAAAAAAGAAAACTTCAATAGATAGCTTTTATAGATACGCAAAGAAAGAAAGAAATTCATCTGTAAAATCACGCTAAACGATAAAAATAAATTGTAAAAGTAATAATGCTGACAAGTGCAAAAATTCATCACTTCATTTCAATGTTCATTACAATTTCACCATAAAGAAAATCATTTCACAACAAAAAGAGCTGCCCCACCGGAGCAACGTTGAGCCGAAAATGATTACCGCAGCACCAACCAGCAATGCACACGTTATCAACGTCTTCGTCAACCTGTCTGCAAGCAAATACTTACCCGTACATGTATATGTACGTACATACGTTAGTTGACGCGCGCCAAAAAAGAACCGGATTTCGTATACCGCTAACCCATAGTCATCCAAAAATGGATTAGTCATTTAGCAGTGGCCGCGACAAAAGCTGATAATTTTTTTTTCCATTCGCGGTCAATAACCGTGTGAAAAAAGGCATTTGACACATATTCGTGTTCAATTTACACATTTCATTTGTATGTAGATTTTTTACTTTTCGTTCAAGGTTAACGAAAGTTGGCTGTTCATAACTTGTTAGTTCTTTCCTTTTTGTGTTTTTTCCTTTGATATATTAGATACCTAAATATGTATGTATGTATTTACATTCAATTCTACTTACCATAGCAGTGTAGTTTTATTTAGTCTATTTCTCATCAAAGCGATTGTGATACGTCTCTATGGTTTCTAAAATAAGCATTAACCTGTAAGATTATACTTAAAATACATTTGTATTAAGTAAGCAATCTCTGCGATAAGCATTAGCTATAAGTGATCATAAATTGTAATATAAAATATAAGACACTATTACTTTATAAGATACTCGTGTTAGTAATGTAAGAAAATGAAATAAATGACTCAATCATTGCTAAACAGAAGTAAATTTGTATTATTTTTCAATTTTTATAAGTGGACATCGACATTAAGCACTTATTTACATACATATGTACATATGTACGAGTTAGGGAAAAATTACCTTTGCGCTTTGCAGCATTGTGGTCGCTTTGTGGGCTCTGCCTACCAAAGTGGGAAAACTATTTTCATGTTGTTAGTGAAGTGGGTTCTTGTTTTCCCTCACAATAACAGGACAATTCTGGGCCCGAATCACAGCATCCGTGGTCGAATAAAATCCGATTCGAAATTTCTTTTTCAGATTAAGGCATTCGGTAGCGAGCTCGCTTTTTCAATTAAAATTATTGTTGTAGAGAAAGTACCTATCACTAGAAAATAATCGATTCTACTTGTACCCAAAAGTACTTACTCAGATTAAATATTTTAGTTCAATGACCTGTGTATATACAGTGGAGAAAGCTGTTTCCTTTTTGCGAAATTATAATTCCTGCCATAGAAAAAAGTCATTCGCAAGGAACTGACGACGCAACAATGCAAATTGAACTTCGCGCAAGATTAAAAAGAGCTGAAATGGAATTGAAAAGCCTGAAACGAGAGACGTTATAATCGTTTTCTAGCTTGATTTTTCCGATTCAAAATGAATTCTCCATGATGCTTCCAAAAGTCATAGGCTGGCTTCACACCGCCTCTGATTCGCTACTGCTTTTGCTCTCCCTTTACATATATGCGCTATTTCAGTCTTAACTCTAGCACAAGCGAGTAGTCCATTTGGCCGAATTGTTATTGCAAAATATAGATCATCATTTTTTTTTTAAGCCGTGACTACACAGACCTACATATGTACATATTTTCAGTTACATTTTCCCAAGTTTTGCAAACAAGTAAATACTTGCACATTATACTCGATACCCACCAAGCACATGTACGCGCGTATCGCAGAGGTACTCGAGTATATATTTGTAAGTATGTATTGGTATTGGAAAGTCGCTTATTCTGACTAAGAGGGTATTTAGACGACGACTTTCCAACCTGCGTTTTTTGCACATTCTCCTTTAAAAAATTCTTCGAAAATCTTCGTCCATTTACACGATGGCTTTTTCTTTGTGGCGTTCTTGCGTTTTTTTTTGACATTTAACCGTCAAATTTTCTTTGGTCAATTCTTTCGTTCTCATTTTTAGAGCATAGCGAATCGCGAACTCGAAGTAAAAATTCGAAAATATTAATTCGATAAAAACGAAACGTCCACCCAGGCTGAAAAGTCATCGTGTAAATTGGTTCTAAGATAGTTGAAGGTCTTCTGTAAGATAATTTAAAGACAGTAGTAAGCTGACCAACCGTCCTCCTTTGAGGAGGATTGTCCTCCTCGAACGTGATTTGTCCTTCTCAAAAATATTGTCCTTCTCTGTCCTCCTTTTAAGCAAAAATGTCCTCCTCCTCCTCCCTTTCTACTTTTATACATTTTTATGGCCTTATTCATAAAAAATAAAGTGGGTTTAAGAAGCTTTATAAATTGACGTGTTCATGCATTTTTCAATTTATAAACCTTTTGTAAAGCAACTTTATTTTTATGAATAATGCTGGACTTCCACTAGGCATTAAATGGAAAAAATGACAAATGACAAAGTCGTGCATTAAAAAATTATTGTGTCATTACAATAAAAAAATAGTCATTACGTTTATTTCCACATGGCATATTTTTAAATGGCATACATTTTTTGTCATTTCAATGCCTAGTGGAAATTCGGCATAAGGCAATTAAACGTTCAGTTAAATGATGTAAACTTTTGATTCAACTAACCGCCTGTGAGAGTTGAACAGTGTAAACGCCTTTTAGCCTTAATCAATAATATTTAATATAGCTTTCTTACGGCCCCCAATTACGTAGTTCGCTCTCTGATACATAATTCGCACTCCAATTACCCTTCGAATTATGTAATTCGCCATAGAGTCCGATTAATCGGCATTGGAAGCGGCCCTTTTTGGCCGATTTTCAGACAATTCTTTTTACTTTTTCTGCAATTTTAACAAATGTTCATCAAAATTTGAAACTGTTTAATCAGATTTTTTAGAATTATTTTGAGTGCACAGTTTTTGGAATTTTAGTATAATAAAATGCAAGTTTGAAGTAGCTAGGTCAGTGTTGATCTTTGACAATTTTTTGTTCACGCATTTTCTTCCAAACAAAGTATCCCAGCAAAAAATTGGTAATCGCTTTTAGTAATAACGTGTTCTAGAAGGCATAGCAAAGTAGAATGTCCTACAATATTTTATTTATTTCGCTTCTTTGTTTGATTTCGGGGAATGCAAAGTAGAATGTCCTATAATATTTATTGTTTTATTCGCTTCTTTGCTTTATTTCGGGGCATGCAAAGTAGAATGTCCTTCAATATTTTATTTGTTTCGCTTCTTTGCTTCATTTCAGGGAATGCAAAGTAGAACGTCCTACAATATTTTATTTGTTTCGCTTCTTTGCTTCATTTAAGGGAATGCAAAGTAGAATGTCCTACAATTTTTTTTTTTTATTTCACTTCTTTGCGTCATTTCGGAGAATGCAAAGTAGAATGCTGCATCGTAGTCAGCTGAAAAATAGAATGAATATCCAAAAATTCTTTTTCTACCGTTACTTTCTATGGAAATTTGTCTCGCATAAAAATCATGTTTTGCTTTGTTCAATTTGCAGCGAAGTTGAAGTCAGTCAACGAAGCGAAGTACAAGAGTGAGGAAG